TGAAGTCCAGGTGTGTCGGCATAGCTGGTACCTTCTGGAAGCTCCAGGGGAGACTCCTTTCTCTTGCCTTTTCTAGCTTCCTTGGCTGTTGGCCCTTTCCATCCTCATAGTCAGCAACTGTCACTTCTCCTCCACTAACTCAGACCCTCTTACCTCCCTCTTGTCTACATAAGGACTCATGATTACATCGGCCCGCTTGGGTAATCCTTAATTTAATCACATCTGCAAAATCTCTTCTGCCTGTTAGGTGACTGACTTACAGTTTCCAGGGATTAGGACATCTTGGGGGAGGGGTGTGGGCATGATTTTACTCATGAAAATATTGTTGGCTAACTGCAGGGGTGACAGCTAAAATGAACAGCATACTAGAACACCACGTGCCAGGCCTCTGGCAGCTCTTCTCCGAGCGTATAAGGGTCAATGTTCCTTTGCTCTTCCCAGACAGAGGTAGGAGGCAGGGACACTCTAGGATGGGTTGAACTCCATGTATCTGGAGAGCCGTCCAGACACTCCAGAAGAAGCATCCGGTTTGTTCTTCTCTGTGGTTCAAATCCCAACTCAGTCACTAGCTATGGACGATCGCATATTGCTTCTAAGCCTCAGTGTTCCTGTGTGTGAAATGGGGATGAAAGTAGCCATTATTTATCGAACCCAAGCTCTGTGACCTGAATTAAAAATCCCAGTCCTGGCCTTTATTTGCTGTGTGACCTTGGGGAAATGGTGTAACTTCCTGATTTACTTGTTGGTGAGATGGGGCTAATCCTAACAGCTGCTGTGTTCCATGCATCGTAGGCTGCAGTGGGTGGATTATATGAGGTAACATACAGAAAGGGTTTATTTGGTAATAGTGCTTGGCACACCATAGTGCTCAACAAAAAGCATATCTATTATTATTTTTCTCATTTCTTCTTTGTCTTCATCTTCAGCATCTTTTTTCTCTTACTTTTTCTCCTCCTCTTCCTTTGCTTTATCGTCTCCTGTTTTTACCTGGTGTCTCTGTGTTAAATGTTTTTAAATATTTTCTGCACACCTGACTCTTCTGTTGGCCTGAGTTCCTGCCCACCAGGTCAGAGCCCGAGCTTCTCCTTTCAAAGCTGTACATAATGCAAAAGCTTTATTAACGCCAGTTCCTTGTGTCGGGGCTTCTGTCTGTCCCTCTGGCTCCCGAGGGGGTTTTGAAGACGAGGCTCCTGGTTTATCCCCTTTCTGTATGGAGGAATGGCTGAGAGGGCATAGACAGGGACCTACGGGAGGGGAGAAGAATCCTCCTTCCCTCCAACACCCCCTTTCTGTGCACTGAAAATGAAAACATCTGAGAAGAGATTTCTATTATTCTACCCCTGGGACTGAAGGCCCCAGGGACACGCACAATTCTGTCTCCGTGTCTGCATGACTTGTTATCAGAAAATTAGAGTAGAAAAGAAGCTTTTGTTCAGCTATGGAGACATCTTAATAGGCGCTTTGATTGTTAAACAGAAGTTTCTGTATCAGTTTAATTGCTGTAAATGCTGTTTGCCTTCTCTGTTATGATAAGGCCTGGATTTTCATAGATTTCCACCACCCCCCCCTTCCCTTTAAACAGCTTTCCTTTGCTTTTAGGCTCGAGTTGGCAAGTTTAATGAAATCCACACGAAGAAAGTAAAGAGAGGATCTCCAAGTTCAGATCTGCACACCCACGTTCGAAGCCATGCTCTGGTTATTATTACTTGAGACTAATGACGTTGTAACCGCTATGTAATTGACAGACTTCACCCCTTCAACCAGATATCGGGAAATGAAACCAAACGACTAAACTTAATGACTTCTACTTCTTGAGAAGGTGCTGTAATTGAGAATAACAGCATAACTGGGATATGAATCTAAAAGTGAGATGTGCTCATAATAAAAGAGGATTTGTTCTTTGCTGACTTGAGCCTCACAAGTACCATCTTGGTTTCTTGGGGTTGGTGGAGGGGATTCGAGGTGGCTAGGGAAGTAGAACATATCTAGATCAGGGCTTCTCAGCCTTGGCACTTTCGACATTTGGGGCTGGTTAATTCTTTGATGTTGGGGCTGGCCTGCGCATTGTAGGATGTTGAGCCGAATCCTTGGCCTCTCCCCACCCAGTGCCAATAACACCTCCCAACCCCACTGTGACAACCAGAATTATCTCCAGATATTGCCCAATGTCCCCTGGGAGGCAAAAGTCACCTTGGTTGAGAATACTGGTGAAAGGGCTTTTGCAGGATTTATGAGCAATGGCAGAATTACTCCATGAGGTTCTGCTGGTGCCTAGCTGTGTGACCTCTAGCATATTACTGCATTTCTCTGAGCCCCTGTGTCTTGTAGGGAATAATGAAAACACTGACTGCACAGAGACATAATTTCCAGGTCTACACTGCACAGCCTAACGCCTAACACAAAGTGAGCGATCAATTAACTTAATGCTTCCATCATAACATGCTTGGACTCAGCACACATATAGGAAGTACTTACTTTGCTCTTGGTGATGCAAAGATGAGGCTGGGGTCCAGGTCCTTGTGGGAGGGGCACTTATACACAGACCTGTTGGTTCTACCTTATTCTTCTCTCATGGAGGGCATTGCTGATCAGTCTTGGTGTTCTTTCCTATTGGGCTTCAGAATCTTTCTCAACACGCTTTTCTAGACAGCCACTACGAATGTCCCATGAGATAAAGCCCATTTGGCACTCCTAGTTTTGTAGATTCCCCACGAGGAGGCTGTGTATCTGAGCTAACTAACGCTTTCTCTCCAGCCCAGCCGTCCCATCTGCACCTGCCCTGGCTCTGGAGAAAGCATTTTAAGGAGTTCGCAAGTAGCATCCCTCTTCCTAAATCAGACTTAAGTCCCCAAAGGAGCTGGGAAGGGAAAGAATGCTCTCTTTCGCTCTTTTTTAAAATTGTTTTTTCTGTCTTTTTTGTTTCCCTTGGAAACTGAAACAAGTGGCAAAATGGGTTGGATTGGGTGACATTTAGCTTTTAGTTAAACTGGAGGAAATTCCACCAGCTATGATGCTGATTGATATATCATGCTGTTTCTCGCGTGGCTTTTCTCTGCCCTTTGGGCCTGGAAAATCACTAGCTCTCCCAGAAAGGGTCCCACCTTTACAAGGGCAGAATTGGGGTGTCTGGAAACAGCTTTCAGATGGCTGTTAACCATGTCATTAGACAGAAGAGAGGAGAATGGTTGGGGTTTAAATGTTCCCTGATAGGTTCAGACATGCCCAGCTCCCAGTGAACTCACCACTCCGGAACAATGGCTGTGAAAAATGGGGTAGCTGTGTGTTTGTAGTTCTGAAAACAGGGAGCTGGCTCCGTCTATCTGGCCTGAGAAAGGAGAGCTGGTGTGTGGGTCAGCCACTGGCTTCCTGTCTCCCTCGCTGGTGGAGATCTCACATGCAGCGCGGCTTCATTTCTGCTGTTGTTTCACACCTCCTTGGGGCCCTCGAGGTGGTGGAGTGAAGGTGGGGGCTGGTGCTCAGCATCTGCGGGAGAAGTCCCAGAACTCAGACAGAGGTGGAGTGATAGCAGATGTCCCTGGGATTTAGCTTAAGGCATGAAAGGAAAGACCAGATGGGGACAGGCACCCAGTCTGAAGTCTGTGTGATTTATTGTTTCTTCCTCATTCCCATTCATCCATCCATCTATCTGTCTATTCATCTAGCTATCCATCCGTACATACATCTACCCACCTACCAATTCATCCACCCCTCCTCCATTCATCAATCCACCCATCCATCTGCCCATCTACCATTCCAACCACCTACCTACCCACCTATCCATCTACCTACTCATTAACCTTTCCATCCAACTTATCCAACCACTTGTCCACCCAACTATCCAAATATTCATCCACCCATCCATCCACCCATCCACCCATCCACCTATCAATCCATGTATCCATCCATCCATCCATCCATTCATCCAACCACCCACCTACCCATCTGTCCATCTACCCACTCATCTGACCATCCACCCACCTATCCAAACATTCATCCATCCATCCTTCCATCCACTCACTTACCAATCCATTTACCCATCCATCCATCCATCCATCCATCCATTTATTTATTTATTTATTTATTTATTTTTAGAGAGAAGTGGGGGGAGGGGTGGAAGGAGAGGGAGAGAGAATCTTAAGCAGGCTCCATGCCCGGCACGGAGCCTGACACGGGGCTCAATCTCACAACCCTGAGATCATGACCTGAGCTGAAATCAAGACTCGGACCCTTAACTGACTGAGCCACCCAGGCGGCCCTCCGTCCACTTATTTTTACATGAGTTTAGATGGTACAGGGTTGGACATATTTTAAATAATTACTGGCAATATACAGAAAGTGATATTAGTTTTCAATAGACAGTGTGCTTTTAAAATAAGTGTCTTTAAACAAACAAAAAGAGTTAACTTAATAGAGTAAGTAAATAACTTTATGGGCCATATGGAACATGACAAAACTGGGAAAGTGGTACATGCGTGCCTGGCATTGGAATCTACCATGTTAGAACTTTGCACACAAGGGCATGTGCTCTAGAGTCTCTCAAATCTGGATTCACAGCTGCTGTGCAGCCTCCAAGGTGTATGACCTTGTACCAATGACTTCCTTGCTCCAAGCCTCAATTGTGTTGTCTGTAGGGTGGGGATGCTAACAACCCCTTTCTTTGGGGTCGTTTTGAGCATGTAACAAGCTAAAGCATGTGAGTCGCTTGCTACATGCCTGGCACACACTAAGCACTCCGTAAATGGAAGCAGTGCTCATTTTTATTCTTGCCACAGCTGGCTTCTTTCAAGGCACTCCCTGGCTGCCCTGCCCAGGGGACCTTGCTTCAGTCAAAGTAACACGTGTTAAACTGGTGTTCCGTTTGGCTTCGGTTTAGCGAGTGCTGGTGGTGGTCACTGAAGCTGGCAAGCCTTCCTCTTCCTTCCAGGGCTCAGCTGGAGCCAGTCCCATCCTCTGACTCTCTGTGTAACTGGCTCTTCTCCTCCTCTCTTCTCTCCCTGCAGACACACTGTCCGTGCCACGCTGGTCCCCGCAGATCCCTCGCAGAGACCTCGGCAACTCCATCAAGCACAGGTAGGCTGGATTCCCGTGGGCATCGGTGCCCACCTCCCAGCACAGCTGGGATCTCTGGCCGCCCGAGTAGGGAAAGGCTGGGCAGATATTTTGCTCTGGCTCCTGTATTACCAGGCCCCTCTCTCCTCTGCCAAGTGAACCTTCATTGTGGCATCTTATTAACCTTGGCCCTTGTAAAATCAGCATGTAATGGTTAAAAGCCAGGGCTTTGGAGTCCGACTTTCCTGTGTTCCAATCGCAGCTAGTAAAGTTTTGCAACCTTGAGAAGTTACTTAACCTCTCTGAGGCTCAGTTTTCTCAGATAATTCTGCCTACCCATAGGTGTGTCATCAGGATCAAATGAGATAATATGTGTCAAGTGCCAAGCAAAGGGCGCATAATAATCACTCAGTAAACGGTATCATTGTCAAGACAAAGGCCTTACATCCTAATTTTTGGCTGTCTCCACCCAGAAGATGGGATTGCATACTGAACTCAGAGATACTCACTGTCCATTGAGGTGTAGGTCAGTCCAGAGCTCCAGCCCTGTTGGGTCCATGGAAATAAGCTCCCCCGGGGGTACACCTGTCCTTTCGGGAAGGAGACTTGGACCTACTAAACATCCCTTATAAGAAGTTCTTTAACTTTCCAGATTTAACTTTCTACATTTTATGTCATTATCTTCACAGTCTCCTCACAAGCTCAGTGGGGTAAGTAGCACAAGTGTGGTCATGTCCCTTTGACAGATAGGGCAACTGAGGCGCTGCACGATTAAGTGATGGGCCTACAAGCTAATTGACCTCCACACTCTGTGTTCTTTGGACACTGCTGCTCAGAGTCTTCTTTGTACCGAGGCCTCTGGGAGCTAGCTGAAGGACCTGTTCCCTCATTCACGGATTCTTTGCGCTAGTATTTGTAGAGCATTTCTGTGCTTGGGTAGCAGCTTCGTGCCAAGACCTAGGGCCTGTGCCCTTGGGGAGCTCGCGGTCCGCTGGAGGGTTAGACGGCTAACAGACCGCGACAGTACGTGGGAGCGGGGCTACAATAGGGGGCAGTATCAGGGGTAGACACATCGCCATGGGGGCGGGGCGGGCCCCCCCCACCCCGGCCCCAGGCGGGAATGAGCACTCTCTCCTGGAATGGCACCTTGTCAACAGTTTTTGAAAGAAACGTGTTGACACGATAGTTGTTAAGACTCAAATGAGGAAACGGTGGAGGAAGCAGTGAGAAATACGTGATAGACGCGACAATGGTCAGGCAGGGAGATGCGGGGAGAAAAGCATCAAAAAGAAGGGCCTTGGGCGCCTGGGTGGCTCAGATGGTTGGGCGTCTGCCTTTGGTTCAGGTCATGATCCCAGGGTCCTGGGATCGAGTCCCGCATCGGGCTCCCTGCTCAGTGGGGAGCCTGCTTCTCCCTCTGCTTCTCTCTCTGCTTGTGTTCCCTCTCTCTCTCTCTCTGTCTCTCATGAATGAATAAATAAAATCTTTAAAAAAAAAAAAAAAAAGAAGGGCCTTTCCTGTTTGCTTTCCCACTGGCCCCCGGCTCAGTTCCACCCCTGAATTGGTCCCGCCTCTGGATTGGCCACACCCCTGGCTCAGCTCCACCCCTGGATTGGTCCCACCTCTGGGTTGGCCACACCCCCGGTTCAGCTGCACCCCTGCATTGGTCCCGCCCCGACTCAGCTGCACCCCAGGATTGGCCCTACCCCTGGGGCAGCTCCACCTCCGAATTGCCCACACCCCTGGCTCAACTCCTCCCCTGGGTTGGCCACCCGCCTAGCTCAGCTCCACCCCTGAATTGGTCCTGCCTCTGGCTCAGCTCCGCCCCTGGATTGGCCATACTCCTGACTCAGCTCCACCTCTGGATTGACCCCATATCTGGCTCAGCTCCACCGTGGGTTGGCTACACCCCTGCTTAGCTCTATCCTGTTGGCCACACCCCTGGCCGGCTTCACCCCTGGATTGACTCTGCTCCTAGCTCAACGTTGCCTTCTGGCTCAGCCTCATCCTGGGCTTTAGCAACCTAGTGTTAGATCTGGTGGTACCTCATATTCAAATACTGATTCCCAGAGGAAGGATGGTGATCTTGGGCATCAGAAATGTCTTCCTAGAGGAGCCGGGACTTGGGATGCCCTGTTACTCTTTTGTCTCACCCTACGTTTCTCCCCGGGCTCCATGCCAGGCGGAGGAGACCTAGACTCACCCTAGCCTTGATGAAGAAATGAAATTAAAATCCCATTCCATCCACGGTCCTCAGAGTCACCTCAGCCAGAGCTCAGGAGGAGAGAGAGCTGATCCCAGAGATGGGAGAGGACTGGAAAGGAAAGAGAACTCTAGGCTACAAGGCACATGCTGCCTGCCCTCCATCCCCACACTGCTGGCTGGAGGGGGGGTGGGGAACCATGAGCTTATTCTCTTCATTCCCAAGAGCTGCCAAATGGCACAAAGTAGGCGCTGCCAAACTTGCTGGCCCCGTGAAGGGGCAGAAAAAGACTGAACCACCCTCCTAGTCCAGAACTGGAGAGGGAGTTTCCTTAGTCACAAGAGTCTCTGTTTCGAATATTGCTATTTGCTTCAATATGCAGGCTTTGGGCTGCGGCTGGTCCCACTTGGAGGGTGACTGACTCAAATCAAGCACGTTGGTACAGCAGAGAGATGCAACCTTGCCCTCAAAATTCTCAAGCACCAAGTTACATAATCACTTCTGATTTTCATTTTGACACTCGGAGGCAGCGGAGATTAGATACAACTCTTGCGGAAGGTGGCAAAAATTGAAAATGAAAATTAACTCTGACCCGGCAACCTTCAATACTTTTCTGGGGCCAGCCCCACTGCCGCCTGGTATCTCTTGGGGGAAGAAAGCACCCCAGCAGCAGCGGGAGCCCCGGGGAAGTTAATGTAATGCACCTCTGTTCCTGCTGGTTCCTGCTTCCTAGCAATCAGAGCTGTCCAAACTGCCTTGCGTTTGCAGCAAGTGGTGGTAATGGGGGAGGAAGATGAGCTCACCGTCTGCAAGGGCTTTCACTTTGGGGACTCTGCTTCTCAAGTTTGAGGCCTCAGCTCTTCTGAGGGGAGGAGGAGGCCCCCATCAAAGCTCCCCAGATGATGTGATGGGCAGTGAGTGGGGGCTGGGTCTGCTGGACTCACGGGAGGCTCCGCCTTGCTTTGTGGTTCTCTGAGGACAGTTCTAGCCGCATCCATCGCTCTGTCCCAGAACTGAATTCGGCATATAGCCGGCCACCAGGCAGGACTTGCTGAATTAATGAAGGACTGTCACGGATGTCCAGGTAATAATAAAGTCACAACCCAGTTGAGTGAGCCCTTACTACGTGCCAGGCAGTGTGAGGCCCTTGACGAGCATGGCCTGTTGGGTCCTGCCAGCAACCTGTGAGGTTGGTTATCATCCCCACCCTACAGATAGAGAGACTGAGGCTCCAGTGGTCTGAACAACTTGATGAAGTCACACATTTTGGAAGAAGCAAGACTAGAATCCAGGGCCTGTGTGCTTACCCTTTAAGCGGCTCATCCTTCTAGAGATAGCCCTGTCACCACCACCTTGCCCTTGAACGTTTTCTGTCTCTTTTCCACAGGTTTTCCACCAAGTACTGGATGTCTCAGACGTGCACCGTCTGTGGGAAAGGAATGCTTTTTGGCCTCAAGTGTAAAAATTGCAAGTAAGTGGCTGCATCCAGAAATGTTTTCCTGGTGCCTGATGTCCACGAGAACCATGCTGCGCTTTGAAAGAGCTTACAGAAGTTTGGTTTCTTGGTTCTCAGGAGGATCGCTTGCTCCATGTTTCAGAACCCTGTCTTAAGTGAACCTCTCCCTCTGGGCAAGGGGTCAAGGGGAACAATTCGGAGTAGGAACCAGAGCCGATGGATGGTGTGGGAAATGTAGAACACTGTCTGCTGAGGCCCAGCGATATTTGCATATTCATAGCATCTAAGATTAGGGGTTGGCACACTTTTTGTCTAGTTCACCAGATAGTAAATACTTTAGACTCTGCGGACCCAAGGACTCTGTTAGAACTACTCAGCGCTGCCACGTGGCTGAAGAGACAATACGCCAACAAGTGGGTGTGACACATTTATTTATTCCAATAACACCTTATTTACAAAAATACACTGTGGGCTGGCTTTGGCTCCTCAGGTGTGGTTTGCCAATTCCTGAGTTAGAATTTGTGAAGTCTTTTCTTCCTTTATTTTTTCTCCTCCGAGGGAGTTATTCTGATTCTCCCCATTTTACAGGTGTGAAAGCTGAGTCTCGGCTAGGATAAGCCCCCTGCCTGAGGTCACACAGCCCTGACCCCGAACTCCTCTCCTCTCTGTGGCATCATGTTGGTCTCCAGCTCTGGTTAGAAAGGCTCGGCCGCACAAAGCTCCCCCACTTCCCCCATTCACACGCACCCATGCCAGTTCATGGCCGGCAAAAGGCGGGGAAGTAGAAAAAATGTGTTGTCCAATGTGGACTCTGGAGTCAGACTAAGATGGGTTCAAATCCTGGCTCTGGTCCATTCTAGCTGTGTGACCTTGGGCAAGTCGCCTCACATTTCTGTTCCTCGTTTTTTTTTTTAATCTGCATGAAAGGAATAATCATCATACCTGGCTGATGTGGTGATTAGCATCCAATGAATCAGCACTCAAGGACATAGCACGGCGCCAGGCTCAGAGTTCTGTCCTCTGTCAGAGGTTGCAAATGCCTTTCTGCCTGGCCTCCCTCGCTCCTTCCATAAACGTGTGTGAAATACCTCTCTGGCCCAATTCCTATAAGATTGTCAATAACATTTAACTGTACCTCAGAGTGACACATGGAAGTACCTCTGTCTGCTTCATAGGAACCATTCTTAAAAAGAATGTAGGAATCCCTCTTTCCTTGTCCAGCCCAGGCAGGCAACTGCCCTTTGGGCTCCTTCCGGCCCCCCTGCATCCCTGCCCCTTGGTGGGAGGGGACAGCAGCAGTGGCAAGCGCTCACTCCCCCCTCCCCCGACCTGGGTGTCTCACCTGAGTAATGGAGGTAAGGCTGAGCTCCCGTCCCTCCTGGAGTTGGGGAGGATTAATGAGTTCCAACCCTAAGGGGCCATAAGCTCCCAGGCATGAGGGGTGGTGGGAAGAAGTGACCCAGCATTACCGTTTGGAGGCCTGCATCCCCACCTTGGTCTTCCCTAGACCCTGGCTCTCAGGTGAGCCCTCAGGATGGTGACCCCTGGCTTTCTGACTCCGAGAGGCTCGAGGCCCAGCCCTCGGGTCCACGTGAAAGCTGTCTGATATTCCCCACACACTAGCTGCTTTGGGGGCCTGTCTCATCCAGGTGTAGTCACGCCATGTTCTGAGGGGAAGAGGCAGCTCTCACATCCTCACACCTGCCGAGCGGAGGCTTTGAAGTCAGGTAATTAGGTGACAGGGACGCAGCCAGGAGTCAGTGAGGCTGAACACTTCCTGAGCCGTTTTAATTTTCAGCCCTAGAGGCAGAACTCTGAGGCGGCCTTTGCTCTTGCTCTCTGTTCTAGAAGTAATGAACAAAGACTCAGACCCTGCCAGGGGTTGGGGGAGGGATGGAGACCTGGGGGAGAAGCACAGGCTTTGGAAGCAGCCAGAACTGAGTGTGAGTCCCAGCTCCACTGCATTCTCTGTATGAGTTTGAGCCAACGACTTGTCAGTCATCTCGGAGCCCAGTTTTCCAATCTGCAAAGTGGGTGTGATGCTGGCCCCCTCCATAGGCCTGTGGGAAGGAGCCAATGAAATGTTCTCGCCCCAGGTGACCATGTTCTGTCAAAGAACATCCTTCCTTACTCCACCTTGTGCAGAAATGGCTCCTGGTGTGTAAGAAGCAGAATTCAGGCCATGGTTGGATTGCACTATTGATCTCACCAGTTTGCTCAGCTCTTAGAGAAGCTTCCAGAAGTGGAAGCAGAGTCTATAGTTGCTATGAAGGTCCAGCATGCTTCCAGTTTTTTGACACTTGTGTAACTATAGCAATTTTGTGCTTGTGTAGCCACAACAGAGCTTGGGGAAGATGCACCTATAGAGAAATGAATTTCGGTGGAACTGAAGTGCGTGCATAAAGAGCCATGACAGATGGATGACGCTGCAGAGCAGTGGCACCAAGAACCGGAAAGCGGCTTTTTAGAAAAAAAAATTGTCCATTTGCTCAGCTATTTATTGAGAACCTACTATGGGCCAGGCGCAGTTCTAGACAGAAGGGAAATCACAGTGACTAAAACACACAAGACTCCTGCCTTCATGGAACTTACATGCTAGGGGAGGGGAGGGACAGTAAACAAACCAGTGAAATAGATCATCTCTCTGTTCAGAGGATGCTAAGTGCGAAGGAGAACAAAGCAGTGAAGAGAGAAAGGGCCATGACACAGGTCATTTCTTGTTCTAAATCATCCCAGAGGCATAGGTTTGAATCTGCCCTGAAGACGATGACTTTTTTTTTTTTTGAAACCTAAAGCATTGCTGGTTCTGTTTTTGCCAGAAACTCCCTGCGTGAAAAGGATTGGATTGGACCCGTACGACTCCACGTGTGGTCCCTGGACCAGCAGCATCAGCATCACCTGCGAGCTGGCTAGAAATGCAGACTCTCAGACCCTGCCCAGACCTGCTGTATCAGAATCTGCATTTTAAGATTGTCCTGGTATTTTTTGTGCACATAAAGGTTTGAGAAGCACTTCTCTGAGTGATCCCCAAATTCCTTTTAGAGCGGATTTTCTTTGTCTAGATCAGGAGTCTCAAACTCGAGTATGCATCAGAATCCCCTGGAGAGTTTGTTAAAACACAGATTCCTGGGCATGGCCCGGAGTCTCTGATGCAGCAGGTCTGGGGTGGAGCCCTAGAATTTGGAGTTCCCAGGTGATGCTGATGCTGCTGGTCCTGGGACCACATTTTGAGAAACACTGCTCTACATAAAAGTAGTAGTTTGACAAAATCAAACTTTATTTTCCAGCCTGACATTTCAGTATATGAGGTTTGTTTTTGGGTTTTTGTTGTTTTTGTTTGTTTGTTTGTTGGTGGTGGTGGTTTTTTTATTGTTTTGGTTTTGGGTTTTTTTGTTTTGTTTTGTTTTGGTTTGGTTTGGTTTTTATAGACTGGTCATTTTTGCTAACTATTTTGTAAGCTTTTGTGTTATTTCATCTCTTGGCCTCATTCTGTAAACTTGAGTCTTGTTCATCATCATCTCTCCAGTACATTCATCCAGTAAATATTTGTGTGATAAGCCAAAAAGATAAGGCATGATTGGAACCCGGGATTGTAGGTCAGACACACACACCTGCATTTGAACCCTGACTCTGCTACTAACAGCTGTGTGACCACTTCTGAGCCCCATTTCTTCTTCTGTTGAAAGAGGAAAATAGTATCTACCTCACTAGATTATTAAAAAAAAAAATCCACAAACACAAACAAACAAAATAACCCTAAGTGAGGTAAATATGGTAAAATGCACAGCCCAGTACCTGGTGCATTATGAGAACATCATACACTAAAGCTAATACTGTTACTAACTTTATGGATTAATTTTGGGGTACCCCCCCACCCAGGAAGCCAGGATACTTGCAAACATCTAACCCCCTTTCCTCCTCCTTCGGCTTAATGGCCACTTCCTCCGGAATTATCATCAGCTGTCTTGTTGGCGTTCTGAATAGAGAGATTAGCGAACTAATAGGAAATTATGCTCAGAAAGCAATTTGCAGTTATCTAAATTGAGGACTTTTCATCTAATAGGTTCATGAGCGCGGAATGGAGTTTCGTTCTAAGTGGTCGGATGTCAGCACAATCCACGTATTGTCTGATGACTATGGATTCAGCTGCAGGAAGATGCTGATGGGTTTCCCAGCTCTCGGTCATGCATTATCTGCATCTTTCCTCCTTTTCGGGGTCTTTCCACAGGTTTCTGCAGAGGTGAGGTCTGGGTCCTAGGAAACCTGTCCACCCCTATCTGCATTTCTTGCAGGAAAGTGCACGGTGGTGAATTCGGATGGCTTGTGCTCTAGGAAACAAGTTTGAACCGAGGGTTTTTTGTTGTTGTTGTTATTTTGTTTTTTAACTGCAGGGACTGGGTGTGGAAAGGAGGGGACATCTTCCAAAACTGCCAGTGGAGAAGCATTTGAATTGTCTATCTCTTGTGTGTGTTTTAGCCCCCCTGCCCCCACTCTGTTTTTAGAGTGTGCTATGGTTCTGGTTAGGGTCAGCATACCTGGAGACACAGTTGCTTAAAACTGAGCCTCTCCCAAGACTTCCAGGCCCAGACCCTGGGGATAGGGCATTAAAACCTCCATTTTTAATAAGCCTCCCAGAGGATTCAGATTTGCACTGAAGCGTTAAGTGAGGAACATGGATCTAGAAGGGGGAGGTGAACCAGGTAGGTTAATTATTACTGCAGGGGAGGTGCCCGGGCTACAGCGGGCTGGCTGGGCGGGTACATGATGCACATCAGGGGAGGCCCTCCTGGAAGCCTTTGAAGTCTTGAGGGAGGAGCGGGAATTAGCCAAGTGGAGCAGGGGGAAAGGTGTTCTGGGTGAGGTCACGGCGCGGGCCAAGCTTGGATCAGGACTTAGAAGGACTTGAGCATATTGCGCAGTTGCTTGTACCGGGCAGGGCGTGGGGTCCCGAGAATGCCAAGTCTGCCCTGCAGCTGCAGTACCAGGCCCTGCCACTCTGACTCATGGGCACTGCT